CTTGGCATTATTGGTAGTATTGCCTACTATTTTAAAGTATTCAAACCCAAACACAAAATCAATGTTAATAGTACTACTACAGCCGATGACATTCCCATGGTATCGCCGAATAATACTACAGATAACAATACAACAGTGGATGCTCTGGTAGTTTAAATGAATCCTATTACGAACATGCATCTAACATTAGTATCATCCTAACAACAAATATTTAACTACGCTAAAATCTTTATTCTATTACAATAATAAAACAACTAAATAAAATATAAATTGTAGTATTTGTGAAATGAAAGAAAAATTATTTAAATATGCGAGAAAAGTTATAGTTTTGGTTACTAAAATATTCGTATTAACACAAACAACATATAATTTCTAGCGCATGAATAAAAAGCAAATTGTTAACGAACTTTTATTGTCTCAGTAACTATTAGTGAGAATATTGAGAAAAGGACCCTGTAGATAATTCAAAAAACTCGACATTATTAACATCACTAAAAATCCTTGTGTTCAATGCAAATAGTTACTAATCTCATTAACAGCGATGAAATATCGATAACAGACATACAGTGATGAACTTGCGATGATAATTAACGTTCAAATCAGTTTTATGTGTAGATCTAAATGCTGAAATACTCCCACTAATTGATAGTAAAATGTCAAAGTATTGTCTCTACCAACAAATACCTTTAGTATTTCTATTTTTCTTGACTATCGTTCAAGTTCTGAAAGAATTATTTGACACTAATAAAAATACGAAACTTTTTGGCATACGTTGAACATATTTCATTGTAAATAATCCAAATAATAATTTATAAAATTATTCCATCGATGAATAAAAGATGGTAAAATCAATCAAAATTGTCGAAAACAAAACAGTCAGATATCACTAGAGTATAATGTTAAATCAACAATAGTTTTCGTAGATAAGTGCTAGCGACTCATTTCTCTTAATTTAAGATTCCATATAGCAATGAAGGTCCTTCAACTGTTGTTATTAAAATATAACATTACGCAAAATTTTGTAAATTATATTTTATCTGTTAATCTACATGCAGCACTGAAGATTATAAAGATACATATATAGATATTAAATAAATAATATTTATAGCTATAAAACAAATTTAGCAAAATATTTTATTGTGATATTTCTTTCTATTAATAATATTAGTTTGTAAAAATCACTAGCAGTCAACTATTTTGTCATTAATCACCAAAAAAATGATCATGTCCTTAAATAATAAAAGATCCATGATCATAATGACATGCAAAAGCGATGACCATGATGTTTCTAATAGTGTGAGTTTATCTTCAAACATAATTATAATATGAAACACAAGACATCTCAAACTATGGATGTATATTTTATGAAACTCTTTATATGTCGATAGCTAAAACAGAAATATATATCTAATTGTAATCACAGAAAAATAGTAATTCTTTTCAAAAAATTTTTTTATTGAATAGAAATATTAATATCATTATTTTTAACACATGTAAATAACAAACAAAAAAATATTTTTTATCTAGTATTGTCCATTATCATTTGGCATTGGTAATAATGAAGTTAGATGATTGTCATCAGTTGATGTAGTATTCATCGATGGTTGCATATAAAAAAATGATTTCGTATCAAGATCACTATTATTATTCACAGGATAATTGAAAGGAGTAAAAAATGGATATTGAGCTACTGATGCTGATGAAGATGATGATGTTCCATATGGAAAATAATATGAAGATGATGGTGGATAATATGGATTCGAATAATAAGCAGTATTATCTGTTAATAGTGGTTGTGATGATGATGCCGAAGAGTATGTAAAATTATTCGATAGCATTGGAGCATAATATGATGATATATCGAATGGTGAAGTTGATGATGATGGATATGGAGAAACTAGAAAAAACAAAGGAATTAAAATATATCTTCAGCTAGATTGTTGCCACGAAATGTTTTTCTCAAAGTAGTTTTATAATCAATAAAAAAAGAAAATATTTACATGTCATTTCATTTGTTGGTGATGTTTTTTGTTGTAATTGTGAATAATTATAAGGTGATGTTCGATATGATTTAATTTTAAGTCGATCAGGTCCTCCGGAAGATGATTCTTGTGAATGAAACATTTGATCATTACTTCCATTATCTTCTATCATTTCTCTAAATAGACACAACAAAATATTTAAATTATTTAAAATAATTAAATTTCATTCGTACCTTTTAACATTTCCTGTATCAAGAAAAGCTTTAGCGAATGGATTATATCGTATTTTTAATGCTTTTACCTATAATCAAAATAAGATATTCAAATCAATTACTCTTATAAACACTTACTTCTTCATTTTGATAAGCTGTAACAGCAATGAATTCTGTTTCATTAAAACTAGTTTCATAAATTTTCTTTTTTGTCATAACATCAATAATAGAAATTCTTGGTCGATATTTATGAAGTGAATTAAGTAAAACCTAAAAAACAAATATTTTATTTTCATTGTTTTCTTTTTTTTAATTTTATTTACCTGTCCTGTGCCATGATTATCGACTTTATTTGTTAATTTAACTTTCGGAAATGAAATATTCTCTTTCATCCATGTTCGACCATAATTTGGTGAATCTGGATGTTGATAAGATAAACGATTTACAACTGGATCAGGTTTTAAACCAGGCTGCCATTGACAACTTACAAAACGCCAACGATGAGTATCAATTTGATCAAAAGATAATTCAACTGTATACATTTTTTCTGGATCTAATCCGCGAATATTAACTGAAATTATTGGAAACATTCGACGACCAACTTTTGTTACTCTAAAAAAGAACAACAATAAGTAATTTCTATTTGTATTAAATAAAAATATGACTCACATCATTTCATTTGTTAATTGATGAAATTGATCCCATATATTTTGATTGTGTAAAGTAATAGTAATATTTTCTTCATTATAATTTTGTATTTGTTCATGTTCGTACTATAATTGAATATGTGAAAGATGATAATGAAATTAATCAACTTACCTGTCCATAGTATTGCATTTTCTTTTTTGTTTGTAAGTAACACAGAAGTGAGAGATTCAAATTGTGAATTCTGACAAATGTCTATCATATTTATTTTACATTTTTTCTCTTATGAACCAATGAGAACAATTCATAATGAGAGAACCAATGAATAAGCTTTTTTCTTTTCTCTCTCTCTCTCTCTCATCAAGAGGAAATAACACACATATTGTATGTAGTTAGAAACGTATGAATGAACTCTTTATAACATATCAGGTATTATTTGGGATATTCGTCATCAAAATGAAATTTCAAGTTAAGTTTAAAAATGACCGTCTTTGAAAATATCTTGGTTACACATAGAAACTTGATTGAGTAATAGAATTATTATTTTAAACGAAGTCAGGTTTTCATAAAACTGTAGTTTATTACTTTCGATAGAATAGTAAATTTTTAATTAATGTGCATACATACAAACTCTAATTTTGCTTTTCCTTCTCACTTCATACAAATGGTATCCTTATCAATTAGCGTACTTTTTCTAATACAAGCAATTACATATGTATACATATATCAAGTACATTGATCGATATTGTTATACGTCACACATATTAATTGGTCTGCTATTGATTTATGATCTTAATTGTAGGTAGTAAAACAAGCTGAGATTTTTTTCTTCTTTCTTTCATATGTATATGTCAATTGGTCTAACTGTTTTGCATAATGAATAATATTTCAATTCGAATATGAAATTTATATTGAAATAGATTAACATTTAAAAGTGTTCAATCGATGGTTTGCTACTAAAGCATTGATTTCGTGATAACGAGTGTATCTAAAAAGAATTTTGAGAGCATCAATAAAATCTCAACTAGAAACGAACATAGATCTCTGATGAAATTATCTATTTCATGTTTGTTTGTATTACAACTATTGATGTCAGTCTTGAAAGATGAAAGTATGTTTACCAAAGTCATAGGAAGACGACATGTTGTATAATTGATAGTTTGACATCAAGTTGTTTACTGAACAGTTGTACACTTATATATTTATAAAATTCGAAACACATTCTAAGAAAAAAATGAAGATAGCTGATCGATTTCGTAAAAGTATAAAAATGTGAAGCACAAATAGTTTATTGGAAAATGATACATTCATGTTCTTAGCCTTTAAACAATCATTTTACTGAAAGAGAATATTTACACGTGTCCGTTACTGTTCGTCTTTATATTGTGTCTATGAGTAAGACTAAGATAACTCTACAACAATTCGTGTGTACAGTTCCGTGGCCGCGAATCATAATCGTTTTATGTTTTGTTCAGTCTACCTAGGCGTTTTTCAATAAACTCAATACTAATAACAGAGCTAAATGATTTTCTTTGTAATTGAGATGGTTAAAAAGCGATGATACACGTTGCTAAATACGAATTCTTCTTCAGTTCAAAGGCATATTTATAGACAACTCTAATTTTATCGATTCATATTTAATATAAGAACAAATAAGAATATAGTTAACAACACCAATATCTTAAATTAAAGGCGTCTATTTAGACGTTAAGTAATTTATTGAACACAAATATAAGTAAAAATTTCGGTGTGCGAGAAACAAGTAGATGACAGTCATCCGCTCTGTCTGTTCTCGAATATTGTGCTAATCTACTTTCATTTCATTATCAGATTCTTGTATTTCTATAAAACTTGCTATTGTTTGTTGGTCCAAAAATAAATGTCGAGCACAAGATCAATATATATAAAACCTGCATCAAATGACTAATTTCGAATCGTCCGTTGGATGGGATGTAGTTTATTTGTAAAAAAAATCATAGACTATATATAGAGTAGTGGGTCGGATGCGATAAACATCAATATACATAGTACATATGAAAAGCCAAACACATGTGATGGAGAGAAACGAAAGAATTTATGTATATGTGACGTTTGCTAAAAGAAATGATCACAAGGGAACGATCGAAAAATAACCTTCTCAATCATTTTTTGTTATTTATCAAATTTTACTTATATATTGATTAATACGTTTAGAAAAAAACTTAATTATGGAAAAATATTATTTTAATTAGGCATTTGTGAGGATCCTGCTATCCTCCGATCAATGTGTATAATCAACACATTAAACATATGATAGATAGACTATATAAATCTTTCCTATGTATAGGTAAGAGAGAGTGAATATGAACACAAAGATAATATGAACGACACTAGGGAGAGATGTAGGAAGTGAAGAAATGATACTGTAGATGGGGAAGTCGTGTGGCTTATAGCAGAAATCAGCTTAGCATTTATATAATTTTACTTTGCGCTTAAATAGGTGCATGAATTAAACAATATAGAATACCAGTTTATTTGAAGTTATTATTTTTTTTAACTTTATGCTCTTGTCTTTATAGATCTGTACTCAATTACCTTTGACTTTGGGTATACGCTATGTCCACGTGCAAAGAAGAAGAAGAAGAAGAATCGCGATGTTTCTCTTTATTCATTCGCCAATTATCTGTATCGTATTATTATTAATGTTGTAGTATATATATCGAAGAGAATAGTATCAATTCAGTTTATAGACTAAATAACGATAGTCACGTTTACACTCACGTACACAAAAGTTCAACGAGTATAATTATTCAAAATGGAAGGTGGTTCATCAATTATGAAGCGTATTGCTGGTCGAGATCACTCTCAAGTCCTAGTTGATGCTCAAAGTAATCCGGTTAACGTTGATAAGCGTTCATTAACAACAATTATTGATGCGCAATCTGGTCTATTGGATCACCCTGTTAAAAGTACTATGATACAAAAAGAAGATAATCAAACTAATAAAGATTCAAGTTTAATCGGTACAGTTACATCTCTTTTAAAACCTTTATCAGGAAATAGCGATGTACCACCAACATTAACATCAGTCAATGGATATCGTCTTGGTGATGCTACACATTGTCTTAATATAAATGGTTATCCTGTTGTATCAGATGGTATATTATTTGAAAAACAACAAACATTTAATCGATCAAAAATTGTTGAACGTGCAGTACATGCATGTGGTAGTGGAGCATTTGGTTATTTTGAAGTTACACATGATGTATCATCATTATGTAAAGCTGATTTTCTATCAAAAGTTGGTAAAATAACTCCAGTTATGATACGTTTTTCAACAACTACATATGGACGAGAATTTCCTGATTCAGCTCGAAATCCACGTGGTATTGCTATGAAATTCTATACAGATGAAGGCAATTATGATATATTATCAATAAATTTTCCTGTTTTTTTTGTACGTGATCCAACACAAGGTCCTGATGTTATTCGATCTCAACAACGTAATCCAAATAATTTTCGTGTTAATTGGGATGCAACATTAGATTTTATGTCTCTTGTACCTGAAGGTATGTTAGGTAATACATGGTATTGGTCTGATCATGGTACACCTGTTGGTAAGATATAAATATTCTAATTGAACAAAACAAAAAGTATTTTTCGATTTTTAGGTTGGCGACATATGGATGCTTTTCCAATTCATACATTTAAATGGGTTAATTCACAAAATGAACATGTTTATATACGTTATAAATTTAGTACAACACAAGGCGTAAAAAATTTTACTGATGCTGAAGCAATACGTATGTGTGGTGAAGATCCTGATTATGCTAAACGTGATCTTTGGCAACATTTGGATAATGGTGGCACACATGAATTTAAATGTCAAATACAAATGATGGATGAAAATGACATTAAAAAAATAACTGATTTTGATCCATTTGATGCAACGAAAATTTGGCCAGAAGACCGATATCCATTAATTGAATTTGGACGTTTAGTTTTAGATAGAAATCCAGAAAATTATCATCGTGATGTTGAACAAGTTGCATTTTCACCTGGTAAAATTATTACTAATTTATTCTGAACATAAAATTTACTTGTTCGTTTTGTTTTATAGGTAGTTTAGTACCTGGTATTGAACCATCACCAGATGCACTTTTACAATTTCGTATGTTTCTCTATCGAGATGCACAATTATATCGTTTAGGTGTAAATTTTCATCAAATTCCAGTTAATTGTCCATTTATGACACGTCAACATCATCCATCCGTTCGTGATGGACGTTTAAGATGTGATGCAAATGGTGGTGTAGAACCAAATTATTATCCAAATTCATTTTCTCATCCACCACATGCTCGTCCGGATTTAACATGTAATGAAAAACCTGTACCTTTACAAGGACATTTAGCTCGAAAATCACATTCACGTCATGAAAACCAACTTCCACCTGATGCGGAATATGCTCAAGCACGTCAATTTTATTTACATGGTTTAAATCATGCACAACGAGCTAATCTCTATCATAATATCGCAAAAATATTTCCAGCTGTATCAAGACTCGATATCAAACTTCGTTTTCTTGTAGCTTGTTATAAAGTTCATCCAGATTATGTTCGTGGAATTTTAGCATTATATAATGAAATATCTTTTCAACAAGTTGAACAAGCTGCAATGAAACTTCAGGAGAAACATACGGTCGATCGTACTAATGGTTATGAACCGTATGATTTATCATAAACTTACTAATTGTAATCAATTCTTTTTTTTTGCTTTATTATACTCACGCATCTTAGTTATTTGATTTATCTCTTACTAAATAAAATTTAAAAGAAAAATTAATGAAATTTAAAATATTTTATTCGTGTATTTCTTCTTATTTATTTAATTTATTCTTGTTGTAGTTTTGTGTTATTCTCTATGATTAAAAAACAACAAGTATACATCGAGTGTGTATGGATGTTATATAAAAGAAAACAAAAACGGAGAAGAAAGAAGATTAATATTCATCGAACGTATTTTTTACGAAGATTTTGTTGATACTTTTGTTGTTGTTGTTGTTGTCTTTGTTGTTGTACTTCCAACTTTTTGTGTTTTAGTTTTTTTTACCAAGTTAACACCTGATAATCGTTTAGCTCTTATTGATTCATGAGTACGTAATTTACGAGCAGCAACCTTTAAGAAAAAAAATAAGATAAAAATGTTATAAAAAGAAAAAAAAAGTATATTCCTACTTTAGTTTCAGCTGTTGTTCCTGTACGTCGTCCTTTAAGTGATTTTAAAAGTGTTGCACGTTTTTGAACAGCAGCATATGGATTAAGTCGTGACATTAAACTAATGTTTTTCAATGGATTTTTCTTTATTTTACGACGTGCTTGACGTTTACTATTTTATAATTTATATTTAGAAAAGAATTAATTATACAAAATAAATTTTACATACATTGGTGCACGAAGTACACTTTGAATTTCAAATGCTTTAAGTAAACGTCCTAAATCACTGTTTGTCATCATTGGTTGAGGAAGACTAGAAATAAATAAATATTTAAGAATATATGACATAGAAATATTTCGTTGTTTCTAAACATTTGAAAATTTTTAGAGAACTTTTATCTATGGCAAAGAACAAAAATTCTCAAATGCGGATCGATGAAGCATTGAAAGAAAAAAATAATAATAATATCTTACTTAAAATCAGCTTTAAGTTGAGATTTTTTACTCCATGTACCATAGAGGCTATCGAGTTTCTTAAAAGCTGATTCAGTCCAGATGACAAATCGACCAACATGACCACCAGGTGCCAAACGAAGTAAATTCAATCGTTCAACACATAACAATGATACACCTAAAAGTAAGAATAAAATGAATTAGAGACTCATTTTAACCCATTATTGGACGCATAGATCTATAGAAAAATTTTAAGTTGTTTGTTCAAAATGAAGAAGAAATACTTTATGGATATAAAAATATTTCCGAAGACGTAAACAATCAGTTTTTCAATATTCCTCTCAGTTTTTAGAGCAACATTTCATATTGATTAAGATGTTCTCTCAAGATAAGAGGCAACAAGATCTATTTTAATATATTTTTATTCTTACCCGGAATATTACGAAAAGCTTTTTTAACACCATTATCTTTATCATAGATAACAACTGGACCACGTTTCATTACTGTTCGTCGATTACGCATTTTTCCTTTACCGGCACGTGTATGTTTTGATGCATAAACTTTAAGTATATCAGACCATGCACCAACTTTACGTAAAAGTGCAACAGCTTCTTTAGTTTTTTTTAAATCTTGAATTTTATCCGATAAAACTAATGGTATTTCTGGTACTGTTTCAATACTATGTCCTAATAAATAAAAATAACAAAATTTTCAATATCAATAATTTGTTTGTTTTTTCAAAACAAACCTTTAGCTAAAACAAGTGATGGAACACCTGATGCTGCAATAGCACTGACAAGTGCATAACGTCGTTGTTTTAAATTTATTTTTCTATGCCATTTACGCCATACTTTTAATGGTGCATACATTCGACCACCACGACACATATTACCGAAAGCACCTTGACCTGATCGATGTGTACCACCACCACGTACACGAGGAATACGAGCTACAGCACGACCTGTACCCCATGATTCGGCTGATGTTTGTTCACCTAATCGAAAAAAAATCAATAAATTTTGTTAAACAGACAAAAAAAAAGATCATACCAGCTTTAGTACTAACAGCATGTGCTTGTCGTTTATTACGTCTCATTTGATCATGAACAAAATTCACAATATCAGTACGAATAGGTGCACGAAAAACAGCTGGTAAAAGTACTGATTTTCCTGTTGATTGCCCTTTTTCATCGTACACACTCACAAGGGGTCGCGAAGCGGCCTAAATATATACATAATTAATAAAGATAATCAATTGAAACAAAAGAAATATAACACAAACCATATTAGTAGATCTTAGTTGATTTTTATTTAAATTCAAAAGCAAATGGATACTGATGATTATTATCAACCTCCACCGAAAAAATCTGGATTTTTATTGATAAATATTGGATATACGAATTTTTTAATATTTATATTAACTCTTATTTAAAATCTAATGATTTAATAACATAGTTTATAGTTTTTATTTCGAAATATACAAAGATAATATAAATGCATTAATATCTTATAAGATGAATAAATCTGAAGATGTCAGTATTTTCTAGATTTAACCAATCCAGTCATTAGAGACTCGATCGATTCCATTCAAAGAACAATTATTATAATGATAATAAATTCGATATTTTCTAGATCAGCATCTCGATTTAAATAATTCAGCATTTATGAAATTACCTAACTTAATTATTAATATACCATCTATCGATTAGAATATTTACGTGACTGTTTTTATCATCGAATTCTTGAAATGGCAACTAGCAAATAAATTTTTTTTTGTTTTGTACAGCTCAAATATCTGTTTTAATGCAATAAATCTAAAATAAAATACTTTTTTTTTAAATAAAATAAAAAAAATTCATTTACATCTTTTCAACTCATACGATATTTAGATGCATCCAATACGTGGTACAGTTCAACCTTATGCTTGGGGTATGATTGGTTCTTCTTCACTTGTTGCTCAACTTGCATCAAAATCATCTTCAATTGTATCTAATCAACCATATGCAGAATATTGGATGGGTACACATCCGAAAGGCGAATCATATTTAATTGATAATAATAATGAAACAAGTTTAAAATCATATTTAAAATGTGATTTACCATTTTTATTTAAAGTTCTTAGTGTTGAAACAGCTTTAAGTATTCAAGCACATCCAAATAAAGAACATGCAAAAATTCTACATAAAACAAATCCAAAAGAATATCCCGATGATAATCATAAACCTGAAATGGCAATTGCATTAACAAAATTTGAATGTCTATGTGCATTTCGTCCTTATAATGAAATCAATGAATTTATACAAAAATATGAACAATTACAAATTTTATGTAAGAAAAATATTTGTGATGAATTTTCGAATGCGATTTCATCAAATGCTGATTTATCTATTCAACAATATTTACTTAAACAACTCTATTCGAATTTAATGCAATCTTCATCGACAATTATAGCAGGATGTGTTAATGCTCATCTTCAATCGATTTCAAAATCAACTGATGAACTTTCACGTTTATTTGAACGTCTTAATAAACAATATCCCGGTGGTGATGTGGGTTTATTTTCAATCTATTTTTTTAATTATATTATATTAAATCCTGGTGATGCTATTCTTCTTAAAGCTAATATACCACATGCTTATTTACATGGCGAATGTATTGAATGTATGGCATGTTCGGATAATGTTGTACGTGCTGGTTTAACACCAAAATTTAAAGATATTTCAACATTAATTGATATGCTTGATTATGCACCATTAACTATTGAACAAACAAAATTTCGTGGAAAGAAAATTTCAGAAAATACAACACAATTTGATCCAAAACAAGTATCGAATATTGATGATTTTATTGTCGAAGAAATAAAAGGAAAAAATGGAAGTATCAATGCAATTGATCAATCAAGTTTAATGATTATTGTTCAAGGACAAGGAACAATGAACGAAGGAAAAATTCATTTTAATGAAGCTAATGTTTTTCTTATCGATAAACATACATCTATCGATTTTACATCTGATAATCACCTTTTAGCATATCGTGCTTATTCACTTATTCAATAAAAAATTATATTTTATTATTTTTATCCTTAAGTTAAATCGGTAGATTCTAAAATTTTAGATGTCTGTAACATTATTACTTATATGTCGTCGTTCATTAAACTTACCACACTTATCATCCGGAAAATCAACACTCGTAAGTTACATAAAAGTCTTAAATAAATAACGTATCATCATTTGTAGTATGATGTTTCACATAACTAATGTTTCATCTAGCGGGTGGGTGGCCCCCACTCGAACAATGAGACTTAGATAAAGCATTGTTAGGCGGCGCCCATCCGAAGTTTTCATTTCGTCCACATGGAAAAAGAAACCTGGGTAAAATACTGCACATAAGCGATCAGAAAAAATATTAAATAGAAAAGCTGAAGTTTTTGTGCAACCGATGATTTTACTTTTTATGTTTTATTTAGCTACGTCCACTTTATTTTTCTTCGACAATATTTAGTGTACAATCATCGACATTAAAATCAAAATATGGTTCATTAAAACCTGCATCACCTGATAATCCATTTCGTGAACCAACTGATGAAAAATCTCGTCGTCTTAAATTACAAGAACATATACGTTTTCGAGAAAAATTTCAATTAGGAAATGAATATGAATTAGTCTATGCTATGCCTAGACAACGAATGTATAGTTTAATGCATTTATTATGTACATGTGCTAGTATAACAATGTTTTCTTTTATTGCAATACACTTTTATCGTGATGCGCTTGATCTGGAACCATTAATAACTGCTACTAATCAACAAATACCACCCTATATTTATGATTCAATTGCAGCAATGATTGGCACAGTTTTTGCAACAGGTATACATAGAAACTATTCTAGTTGAAATATTATATTTATTTATTTTTTTTGTTTAGTATTATTTCTTATATCTCGAATGCCAGTTCGATTGTATTATTCACCTGTTCGTCATTCATATGCATTATTTTATCATCCAATGATAGGTGTACTTCGACAAAAGAAAATTTCATTTAATAATAATCAATATAGTATAATTCCACAAGAGTTAGACAGTATTCAATCAGCAGAACGATCAATAAAACTTCATATTGATTTTGGTCAAGGTTTATTTAGATTAAAAAATAATTTCTATTTAATTGAGAATTATTTTCGTTCAAAAAATGATATACATAGAATTAAAACAAAAGATAGTCAAGCTGAAAAAACAATGAATAATGAAAAAGAACAAACTCAAGAAGACGAAAGTGATATGTGGCAAACAGTCGTTGAACGAAAAGATCAACCTAGTAATAATAATACTCAACGATCAAGACAGAAAAAGACTTTTATGTAATAGGAAAAGAACTGCTTATTTATTTTTTGTTGAAATAAAATTTAGTTTTTGAAATGTTAGACATATCTTAATTGTATGAGAGATAATAACTTGGTTGATTACAATTTTCTCTGATGTGAATGGAGATATAGAACAAATAAAAAGTTGTTTGTACTGATGAATAATATTTTTTTTCTTCCTTCCATTAAAATATAAATTTAGTTACACTGAGGTACATGAGTGCAACATTCAATCATTTTTCTTTTAAACGAGACAGTTGTTGTTAAGGTAGAAAAAAAATCGAGTTAGCTTTATTTGAAAAAGAAAATACACAATATAGCATGAATAGAAAATAGTTTAAATTGTTTATGTATAAGATAATATTTTTAATTTTGAGGTCTATCTGTCATACTAGCTGTGACCAGGGTCTCAGATGGTGCAGTTTCATTTTGAGATGATGTAGCACCACCAGCAGCTGGTGGACGAGAAGGTGATTGTTCGATAGCAGCTTCAACTAATTCACTTGTTTTACCAGGTGTACTAATTTTATGTTGGTCCATAGCTGATGATGACATGATTGTTTGTTCGAAGTATTGAGTATAAGACTGTTGTATCTTTAACAATGAATGAATGAATAAATAAAAAAACTTTTTCTTCTTCTCTTTCTTATATAGTAACGAGAAAAAACGTTCGAGAATAGTATAAAAATCACCCTTTTTTTTCTTTCTGTTCCTTTATCGACTAAATATTTCTTCCATTTTCGAAATTTTTCTAATTCTTTTTTTTAAAAACAAAATTAATCATTTTTATCAAATTAAATGTGAATAATAATGATCACAATGAATATTGCGCATGTTCTTTTACTTAAATCTTAGACTAAATAATTTTTTTAAAGGACTATATCATTAAAATTAAAATCATGAAAATGCATATACGTAGATTAATCTTATCATCTATTACGATGCTAATTATAACTCTTGTAAATTCATAGTATACAAGATATTAGCGGATAGATATATATTTTACTTTTAAATCTAAAACAAAAGTTTCATTTAATAGTGCAGTGAAATATGAAAAATATAAAAACATGGATCAACAAAAATATCGTCTCAGTTTCAAGCTGTTGTTTTCATTCGAAGGAATGAACGATAAAAAATGCCATTCAATAGATTCTCTTGACAATCTACTCATTTTGACCGAATGCTTCGGTAGATTACCCTTTAAGTTTTGTTCCAGTAGAGGATACAACGTAATTAAATGAAGTCAATCTAAATGTGACATTTTGAATAAAATTTTAGAGAAATCCCTGTAGCTAAAAACTCATCGATGTATTATGCATTTTTATTATATGTATACTTCAATACTTATGATTTACACTCAGAGTACGATAGCGTATTGTCCTTTAAAAAAGGATTTATGCTTAATCCATCTTTACACTTGTTTTTGTTAAATCATAGTTGAATATATTACTTTATTCAAATCTGATTAACAAAAACATATACTCTGTTTTATTTGCTTTAATCTTCAACAGCAATATAGGCATGACATATTCAAAGTTTTCAGTATTTAAATATCATTTGTATGTTATTGAAAGAAAAAGAAGCGATTCCATACAGTGAGATAGTATACTTTATTTGTGTCATATATTTACAAGAGAAAAATAAGATATTGAATACTGAATGATGTTATATTCTATATATTATCTTATTGTTCTCGTTTTTATTAATATTAATGCCAAGAATGATACTAACGATGTATTATATCAATCTGTGATAAAAATGAAATTAGCTCACCAGAATAATACAACGAACTTGTCGTCTGTTCCTCGTCTAGGTATATTTGATCAATTAACAGATTATACTTTGGGTCTCATCGATGGATTACAACCAGAATCATCAGTAAAGGAAACCATTGGTAATGTTGTTTTTAATGTTCATCATTTTACTCAATTTCTCTTCGATGGTAATCACGTATACATATATAGTCCAAAGAAAAATGAAGAAAATACTCATGAACCTCAAAAATGGACATTTTTCTATGTACCTATTTTACAACCAGTACAATCATCATTAATTTTACCTTGGGTGTCAATTAATAAGCTTGAAGTACGTGTTCGTCTTGCTCTAGGCTCATCCAGAGTAGAAGAAGCTGCACGTCAAGCTATTAGTAATCAATTGGATCGCGAAATAACTCAAAAGTATTCAAAATCATGGGTCATTGCTCCATTAATGCTTGATTCTCTTTCAGCTTATATTGTTACAGTAGGTTCAATACCAGTTCCAGGTGTCGTACCATTTCATATTGATAATCCAAATTCTAATACTATTACTTTTCGTTTTGTTTGTGTAACTAAAGAAGCTGCTCTAGCTGTTGCTGCTGGTTTACTTATTGGAGATTTTGATATTGAAGTTTCACTTCATTTTTCTGGTATGCATCGTGTTCGAATGAATATGATGACGATTACATCTACTCAATTTCAATCAGTTTTAACTAAAACAATAGCAGATGGAGGTGGAACAAATTCAACATATATTCATCGTGATCAAGCATCAAATTTTCTTGCAAAATATATGACTAATGTTAAAAAAATTATTTATATTGAAGATTCAAATGTTAATACATCGATATTATCTCATGGTTTACAAGAACAACTTAGTACTCTATTTCAAGATGGTATTACCAATGCTAAAGAAATATCTATTCAAGCTGATGCTTATGGTCAAATATGGCAATCATCTGATCTTAGTCCTGATCGTATAACTAATGAGATGAGTAACATATTTACATTTAATAAAACTGAAACAGAAAAACATAATAATAAACAGAATTACTATTCAATAAATCAACGTAAAGATTGTCCTCTACCAATGTATATTCAATTAGATGCATGTATAAGAATACTTCTTATAACTTGTAATACTAATAGAAATGAAGGATATGAACCAACTTCATATAGTGCTGTTTCAGAATCAGATATTCAAAAAGCTGCTTCACAAGTATCTATAGAAGGTATTTGGGAAGGTACAAAATTTATACCAAAATCATTTCAAGTTTACAAACTAATCGATATAGTAAATCGATTAGAGGTAGCCGTTATTGCTAAGCAACTTCTAGCTGAAAAAACAAATGGAGCTGTAATTCGAAGAGTCAGTGCTACGACATCATTATCGAATGTATTGAATCTTTTTACATCATTAGATAATGCAACCCTATTTGAATCATTAGAAAATACAAGTATTCTTTCATTATTAAACAATGCAAATTTATTTACATCATCCGATGATGACAATTCAGTTACATCTACAAATAACCAGAATTCTCTTATCGGTGAAATTAAACTTTATGCCGGTTCGTCTCCTCCTCCTGCCCCATGGCTTCTATGTGATGGTTCGATTGTTTCACGTTCAGAATATCCACAACTTTTCTCCGTTATCGGTACAAAATATGGCAGAGGGAACAATTTAAATACTTTTCAATTACCTGATCTACGTGGTCGAGTACCTATTGGAGTTGATGTTGAACAATTACGTATTAATGATGCCAAAGATATTGGTATATCTGGTGGTCAATCTACTCATACATTAACAGTCGAACAATTACCATCACATACACATGATTCAGGTACATTAGAAAATACATACAATGGACAACATACACATTCGATACATGATCCTGGTCACAATCATGGTGGTTTTACTAGTACATATGCAGTTCCATCTTCATTTACAAATGATTATGGAGAATACAATTATAAAATGAGTGGTTATCGACAATGGCAAGCATATACAATTCCAACATCATTAACTCAAATTTCACTTTATTCCAATGGTAATCATACTCATCAATTAACAGGTCATTCAGGTACAGTTGGAGAAGATAAATCATTTTCGATTTTACCTCCATTTCAAACATTCTATTATGTCATTTATGCTGACTAACAATTTTCTTTTCTTTTTACATATTTATTAATTTCATAATAAATAAAAATATTCTGATTTTTATATACATTTCATATCACTATTTAATTACTAAAACCCCAAAAAGCAGTTGGCAAATTTTGTACATCTCTTGCACGTTTAACAAATGATGTAAATGATGACACACAATTACCGATAAAATAATTCGCATGTGCTAACATTGCTACATCAATAATAGGTAACCATGGATCAAGATGTTTAACATGTACACGTTGTGCTGATAAATATTCTTGAATTTCTTTAATCATGGGTCGTTTATCAGTTGCAACATAAATATTATGTATACGTGTACGAAGAATAATATTTTTTAATAAACGTAAAATATCATTATCAGATGGATAACATATTTTATGAGTAACATATGTATGTGTTGAAGATGGAAGATCTAAACATTGTGGTGAAGCCATATATGAACGAGATTTATATGATTCAACATCAGCACAAGCTTTTTCCCAATCATTATCATTTCGTAGATGAATTCCTATAGAATTATAAAAATAATATATTTTTATTCAAAAATTTCGTTTCTCTACCGATATAAGGTGTATTATTAAATAGATTTTGTTGATATTGTTGAACTTCATTTATAATTGTATTTGACCAATTCATATATTTTTGTAAATAACGATATTGAGCTTTCATTGGAAATGGAGCTGGTGCACCTTTTAAAGCTATAACAGGATAACGATCTGATGAATATAATTTGTTCCATTGATCAATTGAATTAGAATCATAATTAAGATTATGTGCGACTGTATCAACAAAATCAATATGCAATTCATTCCAAAATGGTCCAAATGGATTTCCTTCTTTCATTTTACATTCAGATTTTGGTTTATTATTTGGTAACCAACAAAAACCAATGCGAGATTCCGGTGGCCATACATGAGGAGCAAGTTCTTGCATAAAATCTTGAGCATCAATTACACGATGATAAGCACGAAGAGATTCAATTTGAAACCATTCAGAATACGGAACATTCTTATTTGTTCGCAACTAAAACATTTTTACAAAAGTTACCAACTATAAACAAGTATTTGATACATACAGGTGGAACAATTAATGTTCGATTTAATAATTTTGCAAATGCTAAACCACCAAGAAAATGTTCAACTTGATTTCCTAATCGTCCCATACATAAACAAAAAGTAATATAACCATTTGGATCAATTTCATATTGTGATTCTTCTGTTTTGACTACAGAAATCAATAATAAAGATGCAATAATACTAAACACAAATAAACTCATCTAGACTATATGGAGAAAATAAGTATATATATGCACGTGAAGAATATAAATAATAACGTGTTTGCATACAAAACGACAACAGGAAAGAGAAAGTGAGAAAAAAGGGTTTTTTTTTATTCGCTTACATACTCGAATATAATGGAAAACACTTCCATTTAAAATAACTTCTAATTGATTCAATCTATATGAAATAGTTAGTATACTTAGTGAACTGATTAGATTAATAGTATTGGTCTATATCTTTATTTGCTAAAGACAAACTTAATCAATTCTTGACTGACATGTTGAACGTAAATTTGTATAAATATATGTGTTTCTTATCTTCTATAAATAGCGACATCTTTTATATGTAGAATTTAATTTAAAACTAAATTTTCTATTTTTATTAATCAAATATGAACTACTAGTTTACATTATTTCAAATTCTTAGAGATTTTGATAGATATATATGGTAAGATATCAGTGAAGGTTTGTTGCTAGTAACTATAACAAAAATTATGTGTAAATGATTGACAATTACTATGTAAAATCGCCTTTATTATTTTTAAGATGTTTATAGAAAAATTGAATCAGTTTTTTTTTGCATTTATAATTCTTCTGCATTTTGTATTAATAATTATTTGTAGATATTCATTGACAAAAAGGCGATTTAATATTTTAGATTGAGCATGTCGGAAGGCCATCATACACCTGATCATGGTGCTCCTTCTGGTATAGCATCTACCGATGCAGATTCTAATAAAAAACCGTCAGGTGTGCCACGGCCAGCTTTTGATGACAGCACTCTTCAAGTTATGGAAGATGAGTTTCAAGTATATATTTCATTTTTTATTTTCTCAATAAAATTTCATAAATTATTTTTTATAGACTGTGCTTAATGAGCTTGTTGGTGGTGATCGAAGTTTAGATAAATTTCGTACAGAATATGAAAAACTTCATAAAGCTTTACTAAAATCACACGATAGTGAAAAACGATTGATGCAAAAATGTCGAGAACTAAATTCCGAACTTGTCACAAATTCTGCTAAAGTACAGGCAGCTATGAAATTAAGTGAAGAAGATAAAAGTGCTATTAACTCATTACAAAAAGAAATTGAAAAAGCATGGAAAATGGTTGATGCTGCTCATGAAAAAGAACAGCGAGCAAAGGAAACGATACAAAGTTTAAGAATCGAAATTAATAATTTGAGTAATCTAATCGAACAAGGAGCAGGTATGAATAAATACAAAATGTATATAATCAATTTCATTAACAACAAAAAAAAAATATTTAATCAATTCATACATTGGATCTAATATACATTTCGATAGTGCTTTGATTGAATCTCTAATATTAAAATTGCTATACTAATTTTATTCATTACTTATGCTAATAACCGATAAAAATAACAAAACCATGCATCCTGCTAATGTACGCTTTTGGGCATACTATTTGAAAATTCTTATTTTTCTTAACTACTGCATTACATATCTATCTGAAAGCATAGATTTTGACATACTTAATATATACCAAATCTTAATTAGTAAAATAAGATTTTTATAATTCAGTTATAGAATTTGCTATAAATTTATCGTATGATACGTGACTTTAATTTCAAGGTCGAAACATAAAGAATACACAACTTTCTGTGGACTAGAAAAAGATATCATCGTCATGTCATATATATGATCTTCTCAATGTATGAATCAAAATGATTGACATATTCTACTATCTGATTCGGATACAATCTTGATGTTAATTGTGAAGAAGAGAAAAAAAGAATCTATTTACATTAAAAGTATACATCCAAGCCATAACTCAACTTATACTCAATCATAGATTGGTATTAACAAAGCTTTACTAGATATTGGAACCATCATTTTCTTTTTCAATAATAATATCTTTGCAAGCTTTTAAATATCAACACTAATACGCTTCATGAATATAAATTGAAATATAGAATTAACTATAGCTATGAATTAATAATTTTTAAATCTCAAACTAACAAATATCAGTAGAATCATATATGATATAGAAATAACATTTATTCGTTGTTTTTCCCCAGGAATGAGTGTTGGTCAAGAACAAGATGTAAATGATTTAATGAATGTTCGTGCTGAACTAACACAAGAACGTGATAAATTATTAAATGATATAACACAATTACGTCGTGATCTCGATAATAGTGCATTTAAACAAAATGATCTAGAAAAACAAATTCAAGAATCAAATGAACAAATTGCTTCTTTACAAGAAAAAATAACACAAACTAAAAATGATAATGCAAAAGAAGCGAAAAAACGAGTGTGTATTATATTATCTTTGTAATTTTATTTTATTTCGTGTTTCTTTTCTTAGGAACAACTTGAACTTGAATTAAAAACTGGTAAACAAAATTTAGATTTACGAAATGCTGAATTTAAAGCACAAACAACACAATTTGATGTTCAACAACAAGAATTAAAAAAAGCTCAACAAACTTTACGACAATTAAAAGATGATAATGTACGTTTAACAAAAGAAAATCAAATTCTTCAAGTTCGTCTTGATAATTCTCGTACACAATTTACTGAACTTGTTACAACAAATGAAAAACTTGCAAATGATTGTGCACGTCGTGTTATTGAATTAAAAGAAAAAGAAGATGAACTTGTACAATTACGTAAAGAACGTGATAGTGAACAAAAACGAAAAGATCATGTTGAAAAACGTTTACGACAAGTTGAAGATTCATTGGGTGAAATTGAACAACAACGTGAACGTTACCGTGCAACTCAAACAGCAATGGAACAAGAAATTGATGATTTTAAAAAAATACAAGATGAAAATCGAAGACACGTCGATAAATTAACACGTGAACGTGAACAATTAAATAAAACATGTCAAAAATTAGTTGCTGATAATCAAAAACAAAATGATCAAGTTGCAAATATTAATCAATCGAAACGAACTTTAGAACAAGACATAACAAATTATAAAGATGAAGCTGCTAAACAACGAAAAATTATTCTTAAAATGGAAAAAGAACGAGATCGGTAATTAATTATTTTCTCCTACAGATAAAATTAACTAAGGTTTATGTAAGATTGACGGCGTGGGTGTCTCTTCTTTCAACCCACACCCCACCGCACCCAGACCCAGATGCACAGCGCATCTCGCCCACACTTACCCACAACCCATCTCACCCACACTCGCACCGCACCCAAACCCAACCCACCCACATCCCATCGCACCCAAACCCAACCCGCCCACACCCCACCACACCCAAACCCAACATGCCCATACCTCAAAATGCCCACACCCACCCTATTAAATCATCCTTTCTATCAACTAAAACTCTCATTGATTTTGTTTCATATTTTTCATTTCTTTTTTTTTTAATTAGTTATATAACTGAAGCTGGTCAATTAACAAGTCAAGTTCTTGCATTAATGGAAGAAGTTAAAAAGAAAGAACTTGAATTATTTGATCAAAAGAAAAAAATAGCTGAATCAGAAACTCGATTAAAACAACAACAAAATCTTTATGAAGCTGTTCGATCTGATCGAAATTTATATTCGAAAAATTTAATTGAATCTCAAGATGAAATAGGTGAAATGAAACGTAAATTGAAAATTATGAATCATCAAGTTGATCAATTAAAAGAAGAAATTCAAGGTAAAGAACAAGACTTAGTACGTGCACAAGCTGATCACGATAAAGTTAAAAAAGAAAAAGAACAATTAATTGCTAACGTTGAAAAATTGAAGAAAGAAGCAACAGAAACAGAAGAAGCTTATGCAAATCAACAAGCTGAATTTGAACGTTTAAATAAACAATTATCCGAAGCAAATGATGAACGTAAAAAACAAATGAAACAATTACAACAAGTAATTTTAAATCAATATCTTAAATATACATATATTATTTATCATTTAGGTTATTGCTGAACGTGATGTTCTCGGCACACAACTTGTTCGTCGTAATGATGAACTTGCTCTTCTATATGAAAAACTTAAAATTCAACAATCAACATTAAATAAAGGCGAACTTCAATACAAAGGTCGTCTTGAAGATTTACGTATATTAAAATTAGAATTAAAAAAATTACGTCATGAAAAAGGTACTTTACAAGATAAAGTAGCTAATACAGATGATCTTAAACGTGAAGTATTTCATGTACAACGTGAATTATTACGTGAACGTACACGTTGTCGTGCATTAGAAGAAGAATTAGAAAATCCAATGAATGTACATCGATGGAGAAAATTAGAAGGTAGTGATCCATCAACATTTGAATTAATACAAAAAATTCAAATACTTCAAAAACGTTTAATACAAAAAACCGAAGAAGTTGTACAAAAAGAATTATTAATACAAGAAAAAGAAAAATTATATGCTGAACTTAAACGTATTTTAGGTAGGGAATCAATTAAAATATAGATCATCTTTATGTTTATTCTCTTTTTTTTCCAGCTCGACAACCTGGTCCAGAAGTTGCTGAACAATTATCAATATATCAAGAAACATTAAAAGCTAAAACAAAACAATTGAAATCGTTAGCAAGTGAAGTTAATATGTATGAAAGTCAAATTGATGATTATAAATATGAAATTGATAAACTTAATCGACAATTAACTGAAGTTCGTCAAAAATATTTTCTACAAAAGAAAAAAGAAACAATAACGAAAGAAAAAGAACGTCTTGCACAATTACAACAAATTACAACGACAGTAAATGGAATTACATTACAACAACCACCACCTGATCTTATTCAACCAAATCGATCAAAGTAAAGTTTATGAATTTTATTATTATTATTATTTATTTTCTTTTTTATCATAGTGATCAAGCACGTTTTACTGGTGGTGGCTTCAATCTTAAATCAATACCAAAACCATCGAGTGTTACTGCTTAATTTTTCTATGTTTTGCATTTTTTTTATAAATAAATAGAATAAAACTAATCATCTTCAATTTATATTTGTACGTATCGAAATCAACACGGGTGAAAGTTAGAATGTGAATGTGGTTGACTGTGTTTTGTTTATATACCCACACGTTTAAGACCGAAGAATTTCAAATATCTTCTTAAATCTCAAGAATACATCTAACGAACATAGCATATATCTTCTTTTGTCATTAAGATACGCTAATTAGGCCTACGTCGTTGAGTGAATATTTTATTTCTCAATATCAAAAAAAAATAATGATGATACAATTTTATTGTAGCCCTATCTCACGCAATTTATGATATTTTAAATTATAACAGTATTTATCTTCATTTAATATTCATTCACATTATTCAGTTTGAATGATAAATCACTTTTTCATAGTTGTTACCATAAGTGATAACTGATCCACATCTATATCCATCAATATTTTCAGTATGCCAACATAAACGATAACCAGGGTTAGTCGAACTAGTATCACAAATACTACGTGTTACACTATCAGTACCATTTGCAAAACCCCATGAATAAACATCTGAATAATACCATCCAACACCATTAGCCACATTTCGACAATTACTTGTTGTTGCACAATTATATAAAACATCAGCTCGATATCCCATTGCTGCTACATCCATAATTGTATTACCGGTTTGTCGACAGCCAAGTAATAGCATATTTTTATTACATGCACTTAATATTGTATTAAGATTAGTTGTACCCATACTTGTTGCATATGTTGCTGTATAACATTGAGACCAACTATTAGATAATGAAGAAGGATTTAGATTGAGTTGCACACCATACAATGAGAGTAAACCATTTGAGTCTGTAGTTATTAATGAAAATAAATCAAAAATATATTTGTATGAAATTATAAGAAATTATATGGGCAGATAAATATGATTTTTTGTGAATGAAATGAAAATGTAGTTTTTAAAATCTTAATTTAAGTTTAGATGATATGATGATTAACTAAAAAGAATTTATGTAAATGTTTTAGTTGAAGCACGTACAGTTAAGAACATGAGAGATAATAAATCATGTTAAAGTATATCAGAAGGACATATATGTAAGCTTTAGTTTAACAAATCAACTAGTATAATATAGAGAATAGTTTATAATATCTGATCATTTACCTGGTGGTAAAGTTAGTATAACTACGAGAGGTACAGTAAATGCAGCGGCTATTAATAATAAAATTCCAGTACCAGCAAGACATATTATGATACACTTTTTACTACAAATTTGTGAACGTCTATATAAAAAAACAATAAATAATCATACAAATAGAAGCAACTAATATGATATACTTTGTTTGACTATTCAGGTTGTTAATTTGTGCTTTATTCACATTGGTGTCTTGAGGTACATTTTGTTTTGGATTCTTATTTGGTAAATATGGATCGAGGTATGAGGTTTGTTGGTTTAAATTATAGGAAGATAACTGTTGTGTTGGTATAGATTGGCTATATTGTGTTCGTGCTGGATATTGCTAAAATAAAATATCAATGAATATCAATATTTTATATCAGTTCAATAATAACATACACCTGCATAGTTGAAAGCTTGTTGTGGAATGTAACGGATGGTTTGGTCATATTCTGCCATTTGAGTAGAATTGAAGTTAGTTAACTTTGAAATGTATTTTCGAAAACAGGGTTGTATAGTAGTAGTTATTTATTAAATGAAGTAAATTATCATGAGATTATGTATGGTTCATCGATGGAAGAAAATTGAAAATATATGAAGTATAAAAAATGCATCTCACTCAAAAACAAATGGTTGAAAAGAAAATATTTTTAGTTATTTTTACATGGCTAAATAAATACAAACTGTCTGCTTTATGTTTGCTGGTAATAGCAAGAGCAACATCAAATAAGCATTTCAATAAATAAATGCACTATCATCAAGAACAGGCGACGTCGTTACATGTTGAAAATCGTAATTTTTTGAAGAAAAAGAGTGTATTGATACAAACTATGTCGTGCTATTCGAAGCTTTTAAAGTAATGGAGAGAAAATATAAAAAAGTAAAAGTACAAATATTTTAAAAATATGATTATTTTTCTTCGTTAAAAACAGTATTTTTCCAGACTATTCATCAGATAAATAAAAAGATGTGGCAATTATTAAAACAATTAGTGTAGTTTAAAAGCTTTAGATATTCTGCACGGTTAATTCTATCACTTTGATAACATATGTCAACGGGAAAATATTCATTTAAAGCCTAGAACTTAACTGCAATTCAAACAAATAGACAACAAGCTATATTGAATACTATATTACATACTTACACGATATATATAGTTCTTATTGAATTATTTACAAAGCATCTTGAGGGTTTAAATGAAAAAGTAAGTAATGTAGTTAATGGTGAAAATTTTAATTTAATGGAAATTTTCGATCTTTATTCGATCATTATCAACCTTTTAACACAACCTGATGTTACAAACAAAAGATATTTTACACGAAAAAATATATGATATGAAAACACGAATAGTCATTAGACATTCTTATTATTTTTCATACATTATTGATACATAGTAGTATTAAACAAATTGAGTATTTATATTTGGTTGTGGAATGAATTTAACAATCATTCATGTTGATTATGATGTTTATGTTTAAAAGATGACTACATTTAAGATAATTATACTTATCTATATGATTAAGAATATCTAATGACTATTCGTGTTTTTCAAATCATATATATATATTTGTATAAAAATCTTGTTTGTTTGTAACATCAGGTTGTGTTAAAAGGTTGATAATCATCGAATAAAGATCGAAAATTTCCATTAAATTAAAATTTTCAGCATTAACTACAAAAACTTACTTTTCGTTTAAAATTCAATTTATATTCTTACGTATCGAAATCAACACGGGTGTAAGTTAGAATGTGAGTGTAGCTGACTGTATTTCGTTTGTACATCCATACCTTTAAGACCGAAGAATTCTAAATATCTTCTTAGATCTCAAGGATACGCACGAACATATCTCTTCTTTTGTCAGTAAGATACGTTAATTAGGCCTACTTCATCGAATGAGCATTTTATTTTTTAGTATCAAAAAAAATAGTGAAGATACAATTTTATTATAGCAGTATTTATCTTCATTTAATATTCATTCACATTATTCAGTTTGAACGATAAATCACTTTTTCATAGTTGGTATTAGAGATAATAGCTGATCCACATCTATATCCAGCATTATTTTGAGTACACCAACATAAACGATAACCAGCATTAGTTGAACTAGTATCACAAGTACTACGTGTTACACTATCAGTACCATTTGCAAAACCCCATGAATAAACATCTGAATAATACCAACCAACACCATTAGCCACATTTCGACAATTACTTGTTGTTGCACAATTATATAAAACATCAGCTCGATATCCCATTGCTGCTACATCCATAATTGTATGACCAGATTGTCGACAGCCAAGTAATAACATATTTTTATTACATGCACTTAATATTGAATTAAGATTAGTTGTACCCATATTTGTTGCATATGTTGCTGTATAACATTGAGACCAACTAGTAGGTAATGAAGAAGGATTTAGATTGAGTTGCACACCATACAGTGAGAGAGAACTATTTGAGTCTGTAGTTATTAATGAAAATAAATCAAAAATATATTTGTATGAAGCTATAAGAAATTATATGGACTGATAAATATGATCTTTTGTGAATATTTAGATGATATGATGATTAGCTAATAAGAATTTATGAAAATGTTTTAGTTGAAGCATGTACAGTTAAGAACATGAGAGATAATAAATCATGCTAAAGTATATCAAAGGGGCATATATGTAAGTTTTAGTATAACAAATCAACTAGTATAATATAGAGAATAGTTTATAATATTTGATGATTTACCTGTCGGTAAAGTTAGTATAACTACGAGAGGTACAGTAAATGCAGCGGCTATTAATAATAAAATTCCAATACAAATAAGACATATTACGACGCATTGTTTACTACAAATTTGCGAACGTCTATATCAAAAAACAATAGATAATCATACAAATAGAAGCAACTAATATGATATACTTTGTTTGACTATTCAGGTTGTTAATTTGTGCTTCATTCGCATTGGTGTCTTGAGGTACATTTTGTTTCGGATTCTTATATGAGTTTTGTTGGTTTAAGTTATAGGAAGATAACTGTTGTGTTGGTATAGATTGGCTATATTATGTTCGTGCTGGATATTGCTAAAATAAAATATCAATGAATATCAATATTTTATATCAGTTCAATAATAACATACACCTGCATAGTTGAAAGCTTGTTGTGGAATATAACGGATGGTTTGGTCGTATTCTGCCATTTGAATAGAACTGAAGTTAGTTAATTTTGAAATGTATTTTCGAAAACAGGGTTGTATAGTATTAGTTGTTTGTTAAATGAAGTAAATTATCTTGAGATTATATATGATTTATCGATGGAGGAGGATTGAAAATATATGAAGTACAAAAAATGCGTCTCAATCAAAAATGAGTGGTTGGAAAGAAAACATTTTTATGAAGTTTTATACAGCTAAATAAATACAATGTGTCTGATTTATATTTGCTAGTAATAAGCAAGAGCAACATCTAATAAGCATTAAAATAAATAAATTTATTATCATTCAGAACAAGCGACACCGTTACATGTTGAAGACTAAATTTTTGAAAAAAAAGAGTGTATTGATGCAAACTATGTCGTGCTATTCGAAACCTTTAATGTAATGAACAGAAGATATACAAAGGCAAAAATATAATTATCTTTCTTGATTAAAAACAATATTTTTCACGACTATCCGCTAGGTAAATAAAAAGATGTGACGACTAGTAAGAAATTAGTGTAGTTTAAAAGCTTTAAATATTCTATGGGGTCCTTTCTATCACTTTGGTAACATAGATCAACGGGAAAATATTCATTCAAAGCGTAAAACCTTACTACAATTCAAACAAATAGACAACAAGCTATATTGAATACTATATTACATACACGATATATATAGTTCTTATTGAATTATTTACAAACCATCTTGATTATGAGGATTGTGTTTATTCTACCAATCGTCGCATGTTCAATCAAGACGATCTTCTCAGTTAACTAGATGCCAATTGAACCGGTTTCATTCGACTTCAGAACTAATTTTGTTCATTATGAGTAGAATAAACTCAGATAAAATTCTATGACTTAATAAACGATTTTAACCAGATTAACTCAACAGCTGATCATAATCAAAATTCATATAATACCATATGTATAGCTGAAGTGAAATTTTCATACTATATTGAAGATTTCTTTTGATATTCTAATACAATAAAAGTGATGGTCTTATGTTTTTTTCCTCGATTAACTCGTCTAACTTTGTTTCATAAGAACAAACTCTGTTCCATCTTAAAAAAATATATTCATAAGATTTTATCATTAAATGACAGTCTACATTTTCAACACCAATGAATAAAGAGAACTATTCAAACTTTGTTGATTGTAACCAGAAACGCAATAGTCTTACGTATTATATAGCATTTTATATCGATAAAAAATCTCAACAGTAACGTTGTATATTATTATGTTGATTCTGTCACTTTATAGCTGTGATCATTTTTTTTTCGTTATTTCCAACAAGAAACTAATATCATGCGATATCAGTAATACAAAACAAATACTTACTCATTCAGTGATAAGAACAATATATATATACAACTGACATATAAGACTGCACAGGCCAGGTTTCATCAACAGGCTACAGTAGCCAATCAAACCATCATCATCTTCCTTACGTTATCGGCAAAATATGCTTACCGAATTCTTGATCACCAAGCAGGCTTTACAATACTATGCTCAATGAGAAATATATGTGAATGATTCAATAGGATCGTGGAAAGTTATCATCGATATTAGGTAAGTTTTTCTGTATTGACTCTCAGATTATTTTTCGTTACTACAAACTCTATCTAAGTAGAATAACTTCGACAAAATATACATAAATAAAGTATTTGTCATTCGAGCTAATTCATCAGTTTTCAATCTCTCACGAAAAATAAGTTTTTTTTCTACTATAGCAATACGAAAATAATGTCCTGGTAGTCAACAAAAAGAATACCTTTTTTTCTCTCTTATCAATCCTACTCATGAATATTCCATGTTGAAAACCAAGTGCAATGTCATAAACATGCAATATTAAGATATAAGAACGAACAAAAAGAGACAAAAAAAATATTATTTGTTTTTACCTGGACCAAAACACTGTTTTCATATCATTTCAATAATAAAAATAAGATTTTAAAAGAAATTAATGACTTAGTGAGCCAGCTTATCTTATTATAAATAACATTTTCCAAAGTCATCTTCCAAAACTAGGTGACTGTGAGTATAGACAAAGGTATGAATACGGATAGAGAGAAGGCTGATTCACAACAAGATCTACATTCTCATTCAGTCACATCGCTTACACACATACTCTTCTATTCATCTTCTATTTATAATAAATCTAACGTTATGGAATAAATTGTTTTGCATTTCACTTTTTATAAACTAATACTGTTTCATTGTACATAACTGTGAGACGCCATGTAAAGCTATTGTCGAAATCAATAGGTATTCTCACCGATATATATTTGATAACTTACATGAAGTTCTCACATAAAACACGCGTCGATTCTACTCAATAAACGTGACAGAAACTTATTTACAAACGACTGGAAATAAGCTGTATTTTTCTTACACTTATACAAATACTAATAAGCAATGCACTCTAAACTATCTACTGTACTAAACTGTCATTTAAGGATATAATGTTGTCCTTCATATTTGTTTTGCGCACAAGTAATTTACAAACTATTATTCATGATCTAAAAAATTTTGATTTTCTCACAAACATTTAAGAATTAGTAACTAAGGTGTCAAAAATTGCTGTATATGCATCAATCCCTTCCTTACCTCTTTCCATATAGACACTAACTACACTAGATCTCAAATATAATCGAATCGGAGATGTTTGAGCACAAAATTTGGCTGATGTATTACCATACAGCACAGTAATTTCTCATACTCTTCACATTTGTACTATATCTTTATTTGCACGCTTTAATTTAGACACTCACTACACCAGATCTCTATCAAAATCACATCAGACAAGTTAAGGTACGATATTTGGCCGATACATTACGAAACAACACACTAACTGTTGTTCTCTCATCTACGCCATACCCTTCCTTCCACTTTTTCAACTAGACACTTGCCGCACTAAACCTAAATGGAAATCAAATCAGACATGGCATCATATGTCGAAGTTAAAAACACATTCAAGGCAATGAAAAAAGAACAAACCCGTAAACGTCAGTATGAAATATATTTTGATGACGAAGGAATACTTAGTTGTAATCAGAGTGTAACAATATTTATCCTGTTCTACTGATGCTGCCTTCTTTGATGTATTGTCTTTATCTTTCAGTCCTTATCTCTTTCTTCCTAATCTCTTCATTCCCTCTGATAGATGGGTATATAAGTGTATGCTTCGTATGAAACTGATGCGATTCTTTATAAGTAGAAATATAATAAAGTGCAATACCATTAGCACTAACACTTCGCCCATCATAAAATCGTCACATATATAAATACTTTTCTCATGCTGCAGTTGTCACAGAAACAGTAAACAAAACTGCTTGCTTTCAGATTTCATGCATTCTGTGGCTTCGATGTTTGCTTAGTAGTTCCGTTATGCTATGACGAAGGTGAATTTGCTCTGGATAAAAGAGTTTCTGAAAGATTAGTTTATAACGAATGTGGATGAGTGTGAATACGGGTGATAGTGTGACTGCATAATAGATACACTTCCAATGGCACCCATACTCTTATCCTTACCCATATCCACACTCACACCCACATTCTCACCCACACCCACATTCTCACCCACACTTTTACACACACCCATACTCTCACCCATACCCACACTCCCACCCAGAAAAATTTCCAACGTAACATAACTTGAGAAAATAATCGCAATAGCGTGAGAAAATCCCATAAATTCAAAACAAAAAGTAACGGCTTACTACGGCTTTCTTTCGTCGTAGTGCGTTGCTATCGCTCTTCTGACTATTTGGATTTTATAACATTTCATCATTCTTTCTTTCTATGTTGGAAATTCCAACATGAATCATGATTCATAGTTGTTTTATGGTTGTTACGCAATATGATTCAGAACGTATGCAATATAAAAGAACCCCACAATAGATATGTCTATGAGTAATTTTGTAACGGGTAAGAGTTTATCTTGTATATTTTTATATAGAGTTTGATTGTAATTGCGTCATCTCTCTAAAATACGAATACATTTCATTTATATATGTATTATATTGACTGGCTTTGACATACTTTTGACTTTTATACGATATCTATACAAATGAATTTTTTCTTGAAGTTAAGCGGCATGATACGATCTTTTCGAGAATATTTGAAAGTATCTAGGTCTGTAGTTTTAGACGAGCATAGGCATGGCTGAATGATACATGTAATATCTCCACTTCATATACAATGTTACATGTCTATACGCTTCATAAAAGGCATATTTTGAGAGGAACAACTGCTATGCGTTGTTGAAAACGATAGAAGTGATCTATAAATGCAATTAACATCGGTTTACTTCTAGCACTTTATCAATTTCCAATGAATTTTGTTCGATAGTCTTTAGTCATTTAATACCAAATATTTGGAATTTAGTAATATGATGACAGATCATCTTCCTTTACCCACCCATTGCGCAACATTATGACTCGAATATGATGAGTTTTTTGAAATGCGAGATTTGTTTGTTATCACTTTTCTTTGTTAGCAGCACCGCTCACATTCTACTTAGTTTTCGAACAAGCGTCATGATGATCTTCTAACTGTAAAATTAATCTTTACTTTCAAACAGGATCTGTTCTATACATTTGTTGTTTCTATTCTCATTATTTTTTTATGTTAGTCATCAATGATATGTTTTTCCTGTTCTCTTCTTGTTTTGTGACTAATATAAAGTTTCTTCCTATATAGTGTTTCGAAAGTTATATATTGTTTTGATAAGCGTGCAATTCAGTCATGCAGAGAAAATCAATTTCTATATATAATTTACTTCCGTCAATCAATACGCACATGTATATTGATATAAAAGATTAGAAATCTAATAAAAAACAAATCAAAGAGCAACAACTGAGCTTAACATTACGAGAAGAACAGAAGGAAGCAAGAAAAACTTCTCCAATATGTGCTAAAAAATGAATAGAGGAAGAATCGATTCTTTATGACTCAAAGAAGATGAGAATGTGTGCCACCTTAAATAGAAAAAGATTGCGA